TGTAGTATCATAATTGTTTTGAAGAATTGGGGAACATGAGCCCTCGTGAGTAAAGTGACTTGTTCAGTATTATACAGCCACAAAGTCTCAGGAATATGGTTGAATGCCGAGACCTCTTGAGCAAATCAAATATGAAATACTGCCCTGTTTGTGAATGTTTCTTATCATGTTCAATATTTCTTATCATATTAAAGTATGTCTCTCTTAGGATTGTAGAAACCGTGTCATATACACCTTCTTTCTTCCCCACACTTCTGGTACCTAACATTATTCTGAGAGTAAAACAAAATCTGCTAAACTGGTTAAAAATATTTTAATTGATAAATGATTGACTGCAGAGGATGTTTTACCCATGTGAAAACAATATAGTGGTAACCATGGAATGATATTTTTCAAAAAGAAAAGTAAACAATTAGCTTTACCTAGCTGACAGCAAAGCTGTTCAAATAATAAATAAATTTACTCTGATGGTTATGTAGATAAATATTAATGTGGTCTGGAAACATTTCCATAAGTTACATGGACATGAGTTAGCCCTAACAATGATATTGTAGAAGCATTAAGGCCTTTAAAAATAGTGATTAGGGAACAACATGGATCATCATTTTAAAATAACTCTTCTTCATGGCTTAAAGCACAACTGTTACCAACAATCATAACAACTCAAGTTTATGGTCATAGAGTCAGTGCACTGGCAGTTGCTGGACTGCCTGGCTCTCACATAGGATGCAGTAACTATCAATATGCCTCTACCATTCAAATAACACACACCCACTACAAATGCCTCTCAGAATTCATGCCACCCATGAACAGTCATTAACTTGGATGACCAGCACCTTGCTCAACCAAAATTAAATAACAAAATATTTAGTATACTTCAGTATGATTTAGTACCTACAAACATAGTGGTCATAAATCAGGAGAATTTCCCCAACAGGAAAGGCATAAATCTTCCAGTGCTCTTTTAGAAATCAAAACAGCTCATGCTATGGCCCAAACTGTCACAGGATCATGAAATTGTAGCGCTATGGGAACCTGAAACAGTGTGTACACCCATTTCTGTCCTCTTTTAAGAAGTCCCCTTTCAACAAGTACAGACACAGGAAAGACATGTTAGAGACCTCCAAAGAAGGAGTTTTTAGCAGTTTCTTTGGTTTCTTTAATTTACAAAATGCAATTAAATATTATATACATGTTCTCATGTACAGCTCCTCTTCCAAAAATTAACATAAAACTGTTTTTAGTGACTCTTAGGGATACAGTTGCTGACACAAATGGAACTTGAACTGCAGAGTGACTGAAACAATAAATTATTTCTTGCTTACATAACAGTCAAGGCAGATGTTTCTCATTGATGGTGGTGATTTTCCTCCATCTGAAGAAACACTTGGTGGTTCACTAACCAGAGTGACTGGGGCTCTGTCATCTTCAACACAAGTTCTTTTTCATTCTAGTCACCCAGAAGGGCTTAGAGAAGCATGTGTGGAAGATTTTCAAAGACCATGCCTGGAACTGAAGAAACACTTGGTGGTTCACTAACCAGAGTGACTGGGGCTCTGTCATCTTCAACACAAGTTCTTTTTCATTCTAGTCACCCAGAAGGGCTTAGAGCAGCATGTGTGGAAGATTTTCAAAGACCATGCCTGGAAGTGGTTTCCGTTACTTCCACTTGGGTGCCATCGCTTAGACTCTGTCCTATGGTGAATGTAGCTGCAAGGGAGGCTGGGAAGTATGGTAGTGGCTGTGTTCTCAGAAAGAAAGAAGACTATGCACAGGTGGCTATCCCTATCTCAGTTTCCTTTCCTCTACAGAAACTTTTCCCTGGGTTATCTGCATTTTGCACCTCATTTCCCTCTAATTCTTCCCTAGTGCTTATCTGTGTTTTCATTTTGGCACAAATTTGTATTCCACAGAGTTAAGATTCAGAAGTAAAGATAAAAGGGCAAGGAGGGAACTTACTCTGATATATTTCTCTCTCAGCTGATGCCTAGAACTGTGCTCTAACCTTTACTTTCACTTACAGCAGATGACTACTTCAGTTGACTTGAAACAGAAACCAACACATCATCATAGTTATCACCCATCATTTACAGGAATATCGCTAAATTGGCTTTTAATCTTCTCCTCTTCTCACTGCATCAAAAGCCTTATTTCCAACCGAATAACTATCTCCATAGATTACCTCTGAGTACTCTATGACCTCCAAACTAAAACAAACTAATACATTTACTCCTTTTCAGCAATATTCATCATCATCATAAAAACACACAGATGACATTTCTGGAAATTCACTCTCTGTATGCTGAATGTTTCCCAAGTTTGCTTATAAAATTTCTCATAAAATCTCTGTTTATCTCACTACGTCTTTTATCAGTATGACAGAGATCAAATCTAGGTTCCATATCTGAGAATAACTGAGAAGGTATGATAGATTTCCAAAAGAAAACAGTGTGCCTTAGTCCCCTTTAGACCCTAGAGACCATAGGCCCAACCAGGAACCTGAGCTGCCCCTCTAAGGGACCCCATGAGGACTCAGCCAGAGTGAATTATAAGCTAAAGAAGTTGATGGCAGGACACCATAAAACTATATTTGAATGTTGCTTCCAATTACCCTGGAAGCTATCTTGGGTGCAACATATTCACTCAATGGAGTGCCTCTGTATTTTATGTGCTTTTCTGCCTACAGTCACTTATGTCAAGGAGGAAATTTCACCCATCCAAAACTTTAACCTTCATCAAAAAATTAAGAAACATTATTCCAGGCATTTTCTGAGTGCTTCATTTTATTCCACCATTTCTGAGTGAGTAGAAAGCATTTTCTGTAAGTTTTCCTACCCTAAATTTCACTTAACAACACTTCACCACTCTTCATTTTCTTTCTCTTTGTCTGCTGAATTTCCTTCTTCTCCCTCTAATGTATGGGGGATAGAACTGGTCCAGGGAAGGGAAGAGAAACAGAAACCTTAAAGTGTTTCATTCCTAATTCTTTGTTCTCTCCTGTACCTCACCTGCACTCTAAAACTGGCTGCGGGGAGATATTTTAAGTTGGCCTTCTCCCTCTCATCTTCCTTTGCTCTCCAAATTTGTACAGATGGCAGCAACATGATGGATCCCACATAGATTTTATCCCATAAAACTAATGTCAGCAAGATCTCCAACTGTCAGTAAATATGTTATCAAGGGGTTGCTAACTGCTAGAAATTTATGTTAAATAGTACCGGGCTCTCCCTCCTTTATAGAACAGTTGCTTGCCAGACTTCTAAACTTAAGGAACTCATGAATTAAGATACATATTCATGCTGAGAACAGCATACGCTTAAGGTTACAATACTTACCAATCCTACTCTTTCATCATAATTTGATTATCTCATTCTTAACACTGTCAGTATGGTGTTGAAGCAGAAGTAATTTTTTTTTTTTTTCATCAGAGAACCCTAAGTTTTTTTTTTTTTTTTTTTTTGAGACGGAGTCTCGCTCTGTCGCCCAGGCTGGAGTGCAGTGGCCGGATCTCAGCTCACTGCAAGCTCCGCCTCCCGGGTTTACGCCATTCTCCTGCCTCAGCCTCCCGAGTAGCTGGGACTACAGGCGTCCGCCACCTCGCCCGGCTAGTTTTTTTGTATTTTTAGTAGAGACGGGGTTTCACCGTGTTAGCCAGGATGGTCTCAATCTCCTGACCTTGTGATCCGCCCGTCTCGGCCTCCCAAAGTGCTGGCATTACAGGCTTGAGCCACCGCGCCCGGCCGAGAACCCTAAGTTTAAATCCAGATTGCAACTTAATGATAATATATATAACCTTGGACAAACTGTATATCACCTCTGAATCTCACTTTCTACATTTGTAAATTGAGAACAATAACTCCTACATTGTTGTTATTATTTATAAGTAGGAGCTAAATATGTGAACACATGGACACAAAGGAGGGAACAGCAGACACTGGGTCCTACATGAGGGTGGATGATGGGAAGAGGAAGAGGGTCGGAAAATATAACTATTGGGTACTAGGCTTAGTATCTGGGTGACAAAATAATCTGTATAACAAATGCATGTGACACAAGTTTACCTATATAAAAAACCTGCACATGTACCCCTGAACGTAAAAGTTAAAAAAATAATAAAAAGTCCTGTATTGTAAGGAGTGTTGATTAAATGACAGAGAGTACATGCCATGCTCAGCATTTTAAAGAGACTCAGAACTTTTCCTGGCACTAAGGACATCGTTAGGGCAGTAATCTTGTATCTGATCTCTGTATTAATAAATGAATGAATGAATGAGTGAATGAATGAATTGATCTAGTTAGTGTTCAATATTTTTTTAAGTTCAATGCACAACAGATAAGCATGGCATGTCAGTTATGCATTGTGCATTGTGTAGCCTTAAGGCAGACAGACACTATCAGCTAAATGAAGCAAACTTTGAGTTAAGATAAGAAAAGTCACAAAATGTACAATCCATTGCTCAAACCATGCTTCAAAACCATTTGTTGAATGACAGCTGTTTTTGCAAACACCAGAGTCAAACTCCCCAGTGAAAGAGAGAATGCATGCTTTAAATATTGCTTTGTATACTGTCCTCTTTGATCCTCTAGTATAAGGATACAAAAAAAAAAAAATCCAGATGGATTACCATAAAAGTCTAGAAAAAGTGCACTCTACCTCATCCCCATAAACCCCATAAAATTACCTAGAATATCAGGTATGAAACTCCAAGTTAATTGGAAACTGTTTAGAAAAAACTGAAACATTCTAACCAAGAATTCTGATCATTAGAAACTGATTTCTTAGCATTAGTTGAACCTGTATCTCAGGATGAGGAAGATGAGACTGCTTCCAGAGTTTCCCACCGCCTGTATTTCTATTTTGTATATCATAATCTGAGTGTAGAATACTTTTAATCATATACTGAATAATAATATGTTCTGTGGCAGATATAATTTATTCTTTTCTGTAAGTGTTTTGAGGATGCTTTCAATATTCTGACCTATGATTTCATTCTATTCAGGGCCAGATGCTCTTCCTACAGACTGAATCTCTGACATTTACAGTGGAACGGAACAGTGTCATAGGATTCCCTTAACAAAAGTGTTGCTGCAACATGAGCTTTAACAGGACCTTCCACTGAACGAGGGACACCTGTTTTAATGTTGTCTTGATTGTATTTGCTGATAGAAATGGAAGCAACAAAGATACAATAACTAGGTCTGTACACAAATGAAACCGGGCCATTTCTCTTCAATGGAGGCAGTCATAAAATGAAAGCAAAATTGAAGCATTTCACCTTTTTCTTTTGGTAAAATTCTCCCCATACTTATGAAGACTCTTGTCTTCATAATGTTTTTCAACATTCTGCCAAAGCTTACAATGGAGTCCAGTCTCATCCCCTAATTAACCCCTCTTAAAGTTTTCCAGCATTCTTGAAGTCTCTGGAGCTGTGCTACTGCTTCCAAGTAGCTAATGTGCTGTTATTTTACAACACTCTGCCAGAGTTGCTTTTGCTCAAACAGAAATCCTACTAGCTTTACTGTTTGGCTGCCTGTAGTATGTAAAAAGAAAAAAAACAAAAAAACAAAAAAAAAAAACCCATAAACCAGATGGCGGAAATACAGAGTAATCTGTTTGGGAAGCCCAGGTTATAAATATGTGCATGTTGGGAAAGGGCAAAAAGTTGAGGTAAAGCAGCTGATGCAGCTTGCAGGCTGGGCTCCAATCACGGTCATTTTTAGACTAGTGCACTAAGAGATGTCTATATATTTATTTTCTATTGTATTTTCCCTCTCCTGCTCAGGAAAAATCCACTGGGGTTAACTGTGGATACTTTCCCACGCTGGAAACCAAACTGAACCCTGACCTGGAAAGTTTAGCCCATGTTTTATCTGCATGAAGACATATTCTTCTGCTGGGATGGGACCAGGGGTGGGGGGCAGTGAGGTGTTGGGACTGGGACACATCATACTGTGACGCAACCTGCTCGTTTCTTGACCATTCCCCAATATATATAAGGATCTCTCCTTATCCCAACATCTTCATCCAAGTGAACTAAGGTTAAAGTGAAAATAAAAGTTAAGCTTAAAAGAACAGATGCTCTAGAGCACAGCTTGTGTGTATGTTGGGGGTTGGGGAATGGGTAGGAGGGAGATGCAGTTCAGGAATGAAGAGTGAACCTTTACCTTTGTGCACGCTTCTGTGTGTGTGTGTGTGTGTGTGCAAGAGACCATTGCATTCATATGAATAGCAAGATCTTTCATGCTCCAGCTGTTGAATCACATCCTTCTCAGCTTCTGTGGTCTTCAAGAGTTGCAACCTGGCCAGCATTGATTAGCTTGGGCTATAAAAAGATTATCTTCAGTGATTATCCTGTTGTGCCTATGTAGTGCACTTTTCAGGCACAGTAGACAGACAGTTAAATGGATGTGGCCTGCCTCCTTGAGATTCGTGCTCTAGAACTAGCACCAACATTGCAATCAGACATTCTAAAAACCTACAAGTAACTGCACACCTTAGAGCCCTGCCCTTACCACTCTAAGGAAGAAACTTGAACACACTGTGCCACAACTCTAGCACTCTCAGGCATATAGCCCACTGGGGGAAATATTGATGCCTCTGACCATTTCAGTTCTGCTTCTCCAAGGGTTTCTGGGATCTCTCCCAAGTACACTCAAAGACCTCTTCAGAACTCCCTTAGCTGCTTCCTGGGGCTTTCCTCTCTTCTCATTACTCCTGACCTCCACCACTGCCTGATGCTAGTGGCTGCAGCTTCATTCCCGTTTTTCTCTCATGACCTCAGTCACACTGGTATAATCTCGCTGGGTCTGCTCCAGCAGCTGCTGCGTGAAGGTGAGGAGAGGATTCTCTTCCCACTGGCTTTATTCTTTATTGTTAAAGCACAAATGAGAGAGCTGTGTGCTTTCAGACTCTTCCAGCACTCCTTTAATTGTTTCCATCTTTCAGCTTTTTGTGCTTTCCTCCTCTTCTTGGGGTGAATCACAAATGCTGAAGAGCTGCACTGGGACAGAATTCAAGGGTCAAGCCCAGGGTTACAGCTGTGGCCAATATCAGCCCTCTTATTTGAGCTTCCCACTAGGGTCCAATGGCCTCCACCTTCCCACCAGACAGGGTGTCCACAGAGTGCTTATATGGTTTGCAGGACTCTTCCCTGGGAGTAGCCATAAGCTCGAAGAGTCTTTTCAAAAAGTTCTTTGTCCTCTTACGTGCTGAATTTTCAATGATTTTATAGTTTAAGCTGATGTTCTTGCATCCTTTCAATGTAAATACTCCTTACAGATGTTCCATGTTATTCTTGAGGGTTCACTGTGATTGAGAGACATTCAGCCCTGCATAAAGTTACAGTACAAATTAATTATTTATGGTGGTAAATAATAAATGTTTTTTCACATTAACTTTAAAAAATGGGGTATTGTTGTAACTTTAAAGTGTTATTTTTTTAAAAAAAAAAAAAGAAGAAAGTTAAAAAAAAAAAAAAGAATAAAGTCAACGAGCAGCTTTTTAAGTTCTTAGGAGACTCTCCAAAATCCTCTTAAGAGCTTAAACAGGTACTCAAGACCCACAACCATTTGGTGCTGGGTTCTTCTGCCTCTTGAATTATCTCAGCAAGACGAGCTCTTGCTCACCTTGGCTCAACTGTGCTCACCCAAAATTAATATGTTGAAGCTTTAACCCTCAATGTAACTGTATTGGAGGTAGGACCTTTAAGAGGTAATCAAGGTTAAATGCAGTCACGAGGGTGGGATCCTGAGCCAATAGAATTAGTCTGTTATAGGAAACACCAGAGGAGACTTCCTCTCCCCCTCTCCCCTCCCCTCTTCCCGTCTCCCTCTCCTTTTCTGTCTCCCTCTGAGAGCCACAGAGGAAAGGCCATGTGAGGTCTCAGCAAGAAGGCCACAGTCTACAAGCCAGAAAGGCAGCCCTTACCAGAGACCAGCCCTGCCAGACCTTGATCATGGACTCCTAGCCTCCAGAACTGTGAGAAAATTAATTTCTGTTGTTTAAGTCTATGGTATTTCGTTTTGGTAGCCCGAGGAGATGAATACAAACCCATCAATATGTATCTAGGATCTGCTTCAAACAGACTAGTCAAATCTACATTTCTTCCTTTGAAGGAAGAGAAGCAGAAAATCACATTCCAAGTTGTCTTCATGAAAAACAGAGAGAGTCGACCTAATAGCTCAAGAAAGGTAGCATGGGTGAGGTGGGGTATAAAAGACATTTAATGTAAAGCCCTAATCAGAGGCAACGTGTAAAAGCAGAGAAAGCCAGATACCTTGGAGTAAGAAGAAAAAAAAGTAATTTATCAAGCCCCATAAATGTTCATTTTAGAGCCAAATGCAAGTCTTTTTTGTCTGCGAACTATTTGTTGTTTACAGAATGAAGTCTGCCCTCTCTTGCAGTTCATTTATAGCTACAGATTTGGGAACTGTAGGAGAATTTTCAAGGCAGGCTTTTTCTATTTTTCTTGCAAATCTTTCCACCTAGTTTAAAAGAAGACAGAAATCTTTCAGGTCTTTACCCATGTAAAAACAGACGAATCGCTTTGGTGAAGAATTGGGTAATTTTTTTCTGTTATATTTCTTCTCCCAGGTCCTTTGCCATCATGTTTCTTGCCTGAATTCTTCAGTCTTTGTAGGACAGTCCCTTCTGTTTTACTTCTAAGGTCTTCCCTGTGTGGAAAGCCATATATACTATTTTATTTGTGTAACTTTATCTTTCCATATGTAGATAAATTACAAATCTGTGTTTTCATCTCTATTCTTCTAAGTTTAAGCTTCATAAGTCCAAGAGTTTTCTAGATATTTCTAATAGACTATCACGTGTTAGCCATCTCACACATCCCATGTCCAAAATGGAAATCATGTTTTCCCCCAAATTGTTCCATCTCATGTACTCTAAGAATGTTTAATGACTCATCTATCCCTCAATCTCTCAAGCTAGATAGAATTCTCCAGGACACCTTCAACATGTCTCTCTTCTTGGCTGTGTTCAGCCCTATGCCCTACAGTCTACTCAGTCACCAAATACTTCACATATATACCTCAAAACTTGCAGTTCATGCTCTCTCATCATCACTGCCACTGCCTTAGCCCAAGTTTTCTTAATGTATTGCCTGGATACCCCACAACCTTCTAGTTATCTCCCAGCCTCAATGCAACTATGACTAGTGCTTCCCTACTTAGACTTATATTTCACTTGAGTTCCCATTGGCTTTTATCCTAAGCTTTCTCCTGAAATTATTGTTATCACAGTCACCTGTTATCCCTTATATATGAAATCGAATTAATTCTTCTCAGACCTCATTATCATGGCTCCCTTCAGCATTTGATGTTGTTGTCTGCTCTTTTCATCAAAGTGTCTACTCCCAGATCTTGGACCTATTTTCCCCAGTTATTTTTCCACCTTATTATTTCTTCCCATCTCTTCTGTTGGTTCTTCTTCCTCTGCTCACCCTTTAAACTTTAGAGCTCTGGGGAGCTCTGTGGTCTTCTCTTTTTGTTTCACATGCTTCCGCAGGTGATCTTTTCTTCCACAGTTTCTGCCGCCCCTGGGAGTCCTCTTGATTCGGGCCTTTCCCTGAGTTGCACACAGTATTTTAAACTTCTAAATGAAAATCTGCAGTTTGATGTTGTCTCACAGAAACTCAAATCACAATGCTACAAACTAAACCCCATATCTGTTTCCCTCAACCTTCTTTACCTTAACTATTTCTTACCAAGAATTCTTGTTGGTATACAAAGCAGACACTCACTCATTAAACTTTTTAATAGAGTATATTGCCTAAAAAAGAAAAGTTCAAGTTCTTTAGTATGCGTGTATCTGGCACCTTTGAGGCCCAGTATCTCATTCCCTCAGGTCAACTCTGATTTCAGCAGGAGGTATTACCTGAAATAGGCTACATCCCTTACCAGAAGGCACCACTTGTCTTTCTACCCCAGTCTTCTCTGAAGCCACACGCTTGGCCAAGGCCCAAGCACAGGCCAAAAAACCCAATACTGTGGGGGAAGGAAGCTTATACTCCCTGGGGAAATCCTCAACTGATGGGAGATGCAGTTCAGTAGAGGAGTGACCGAGCATGGTGCTTCTTTATATATCGATATAACAGAATTTGTCTATTTTACTGTTGTTGGATATTTGAGTTGATGAGTCCATTGACTTCTGTATCTTTACCTAATAGATGTGTTTCATTATTATTTCTAATAGTTTTCCTATACATTCTTTTGGGATTTCATATAAGGAACCCTATTGCCTACAAATATTGATAGTTTTCTTTCTTTGCAATCATTATAATTTTGTTTTTTCCTTGTCTTACTGTCCTGCGTAAGATGGTAACTAAAAAGGTGATGATAGTATGTATTCTTTGTGTATTTCTGATTTTTTAAAAATTGCTTTATTTATTTATTTATTTATTTATTTATTATTATACTTTAAGTTCTAGGGTACATGTGCATAATGTGCAGGTTTGTTACATATGTATACTTGTG